ACTAATCACAAAAACAATATGTAATTATATATGTGTTTTCCAATGGTCTTAGGCGACCCCTGTCAAAGGGTCGTTCGACCCCCAAAGGGGTCGCGACCCACAGGTTGAGAACCGCTGTTCTAGAAGGAAGGGTTGGGGTACCAGATGGTCGTGTGTCCTTGTCTCCACAGACCCCTTGCTTGGTGCAGAAGGGCATGACAGAAGAGGGCCCTTTTGTGCAGGCGAGGGACCCATCTGTTACTGGGATCAAGTCCTGAGAAGGCATCCTATGAAGAGCATGAGTGAGGGGCAGGGAGATCCTGCTTCCCTTGAAGCTGGGGTGGGAGAGGGAAAGGCGGGTCCAGGTGGAGGCCCATTTTTTGATGAGGTGGCAGGAGGTTTATGTGAGCCTGATTTTCTAAGTAAAGGTAGAGGGAGGATCACCTGCTAGGTGGAGGAAAGGGGGCAGAGGTTTGGGAAGGGTCATAGGTAAGCTTGGAAAAGCCAACGTTTAACAGTACGTGAGAGAGGGCAAAGAAGGCACCTGTGAGAAACATACTGGCAGTGCTGATGGCCTGCCATGGCTGCCTGTGTGCACTTGGGTGGGTTGGGCATAGCTCAATCCAGGAAGCAGTGTTGACATCAGCTACAGCATGATGGTAGCCCCTCGTGTTGGCATTGAGCCTCTTGCACACCCACACCTGGGGCCAGGCTCATGCAGTCTTCTCTCTGAATTTTGACCTCAACAGTTACTATTGCTTTGCAAAGTCTGAGTGAGAGAAACTAGTGTTAAGGACCCTCTTGCTTACTGGAATCACTTCTTAAACCCATGCCTGTTATGTAAACACTAAATTAACATTATGAATATGGCCCCAAAATGCTGACAAAGGTCTTCCCAAGTAATGGTGTCCTTACCTTTCATTCTGAGAGCCAAAATTTTGCTTCCAGGATGGTATTTTCCTCATCCTTGTTACCCACCTGGGGAACCCCCCTCCTAGCACTCTTTCCCTCCTCTCTTACCAGAGGCCCCACCCATTACTTAAAACGAATGACCATTTTAATACTTACTCATTGTGCATACCATAAAGAAAGGAAACAAGAATAATTACTATAATTCTCCATTCTCTGAGATTCCCGCCCTATTTTTCTCTCCCCAAACCTCAAATTTGCTAATCCCCAGGCTGGGACAACACCTGCCTTCTTCAATGACCAGCCTGCTTCCATTTTTTCCTCCTGGGTCGTGGGTCCTAACTCGGCTGCTATGTTGTTGATTTGCCTTTGATTCTATTCACACGTGACATTTTGTTCCCATCAGCTGTGCTTGTCCTTTGAGATGGTACTGGAGAAAGTCAGTCCAAAAGCTTCGGGGTCAGTTTTGTTGTGGAATAAAACAGAGGTGATATGGAGGCTTTGCTTTCTAAGCTCGCAAAGACATCCTCAAAAGACTCTGAGAAGCTGAGGCCTCCTCTAGAGCACCCTTCACTCCATGTCCTCACAAGACCTTGCTGGTCCTGCCCAGAGGCAGCTGAACAGACTAGTCCAGCTCCCAGTGGGCGCCCATCCCAGGGGACAGGGGTGGGGCAGAGGGAGGGTGACCCATTTTGAGCAAAAGGGATAGTGTCAGCCACCTTCTTTCCTGGTAGGACACCAGAGAGGCCAGCGGCCCGTGGGAAACAGAAGCCCCACCCTCTGCCTTGTCCAAGGAAGCCGAGCTTGGTGACGAGGCTCTGCCTGCCATTGTTTGGAAAGGCAAGAAATGGAATGTGTGATTTTGCTCACAAAAGTTTTAGAAAAGTATTCATTCTATGAAGTCCCAAACTCCTTATGATGCCCTGCAACTGATCTCTTTATCTGTCCTTTTTAACTCTCACTGGGTCACTTGAATATTGAGTGGGTTCTGACCAAGTCCAGCTGCCCGGTTTCCATCCCACTTCTCTCAGGGCTCCTGGGGGGGCTGTGCCTCAGCCTGGCCTGGTGCCTGCCAGAGCTCCTCTGAGCCCAGCCCCTGGATCTGTGTGCAGAGTGGCTTCTGGCCTCTCACCTTAGCTTGTGTTCACTTTTGCAACTCTGACCTCGTGGTGGAGCTCTTTCTGAAGTGACCTATTTGGTTCTCCACCTGCCTACAGCAAGGAGCTGAACTTTCTGTAAGGACTGGGAATCCGAGCATTTGTACTCTGCTCGAGTACAAGGAGGTTCTCATGAGTGATGGCCGTGTCTATGGCATTTTTCCTGCACTACGTGGCCCTGGACCAATAGGTAGTTTGAGTTATTGCCTTCTGATTTTCATTTTTGTCATTAAAGAGTTGGCTTTAGGTATCTCTCCCTTATATGTACTGAGTGGGTGTCTGTTTTTAATATGCTGTAGACAAAAGTGACAGATCCCCAAAGATATTAGAAGTATAGCTAAAATCATCACAGGTGCCCAGGAGTGAGGCCCTGGGGGAACAGGGTTGGTGTTCAGGGTTTAGGGTATGTGTTTGGGCTTTGGGAGATTTCGTTGGGTGATCAAGGACTTTTTTTTTTAACTCTTATTAGCCTTGGTTTTTAATCTCTAAAATGAATTATCCAAACAGACTGAGGGAAAGGGTGTTGGGGGTCTGGGTGAAAAAGGTGAAGGGATAAAGCAAAAAAACCAAAAACATAGACACAGACAACAGTGTGGTGATTACCAGAGGAGGAGGACAGTGGGGGAGATGGAAAAGGGTAAAGGGGGATAAAGAGTGACAGAAGAAGACTTGACTTTGAGTAGTGAACACACAATATAATATACAGGTGATGTATTATGGAATTGTACACTTGAAACCTATATTATTTTATTAACTAGTCACTCCAATAAATTCAATAAAAATTTAAAAACAAAACAAACAAACAAACAAAAACCTTCCGTGGCCTCCTCTCTGACTCAGAGTGGACATCAAAGCCCTTACAATGGCAGCAAAGCCTCACCAGGGGCCAGTTTCTTTTATAATCTTTGTCTTCGGTTCACAGACCTTGAATTTGATGCCATCTTCTGTGCATATGTGAATCTGTGCACTCTTCCTGGGAGACCCAGGAATATGGCTGTCACCAGATTCTCAAAGGACTAAAAATCTCCCCAAAGCTTAAGAATCCCTGCTTGGAGGAAGCCTCACACTTGAAAATGCAATTTTAAGAAGGGACTTGTTCACATTATAAAATAATTTGGAGAGGATTCTTTATTTGACTAAAGGAATCACTTAAAATGTCCGACAATATGGTGAAGTGGATAAAATTAAGTACATGCACTGATTTTTATAGACTCTTTGTGACCCAAGTGTATCAGTTTTAAGGGGATTCAGAGTAAATCCCATCATAATAAAATCTATGTGTAACAAAAAGAAAAAAAGAAAAGGAAAGAGTTACCTATCTTGTTTACAGGAGTTTTCAGAGATTTTTAAAAAATAAATGTGTTAATGAAGTACTATGCTGCAGTAAAAAAGAAGGAATTCTTACCATTTGCAACAGCATGGATGGAACTGGAGAGCATGATGCTAAGTGAAATAAGCCAGTCAGAGAAAGATAAATATCACATGATCTCACTCAGTTATGGAATATAATGAACAACAAATGCTGATGAACAAAAACAGATCCAGAGACAGAGAAGCATCAATCAGACCATCAAACCTCAGAGGGAAGGTAGGGGAGGGTGGGGGTAAGGGGGAGAGTTCAACCAAAGGACTTGTATGCATGCATATAAGCCTAACCAATGGACACAGACAACAGGGGGGTGAGGGCATGAGTGGGGGGGTTGAGAGGGTAATGGGGCAATAAGGACACACATGTAATAACTTAATCAATAAAGAAATTTAAAAAATAAAATAAAAAATGTGTTTTTTTTTAAGCATAGTTCACATACAAAGAGTACACAAATCATAAGTGTACCATCAGATGAATTTTACAAAGTAAGCGCATTGGTAACCCAGGTCAAGAAACAGAACGTCATCAGCACCTTAAAAGCCCCTGTTTTAAGCCCATTGCCAATCCTTTCTACTCCCCAAAGTTTACCACAGACCTGGCTTCTAACACTAGAGATGCGTTCTGAAGTTTCTAAAATGCAATCATGCGCACTGTGTTCCTTTTGTGTCTCTCTTCTTCGGTGAGACTCAGCTTTGGGTCATGTAATACTGCTTCATTTTTATTGCTGTATAGTTTTTCACTGGGACAGTGTACCATAACGTGTCCATTCTTCTGCTCAACATTCAGGTTGTCCCCGGGGTCTTTTGGCTCTGTTGAATTAAGCGGCATTGAAAATTTTACTATCTTTTGGTGCACATATGTACACACTTGTTGGGTAATACCAAGAATGGAATTGCTGGGTCATAGGCTATGGCCTACTAGATATTGCCAAAGTTTTGCTAAGTGATTGTATCAATTCATCTTCCTACCAGCAGCAAATGAACATTCCAAATATTCTAAATGATCAAGGAAATTTTCATTGAACTGTCTAATGAATAATGTGTTTGCCAAATGAACGCCCCGAGCAAGCGGCGAGGTAGTGGACTATGGCAGAAATCACACTCACGTGAAACCCCAAGTGAAGCGTGCCCTCGTTCTGGAATGAAGTCCTCATTATAGAAACAGTGCTGATCTCCAAGAACACTTTCATCTCGGTCTTGGCTCATTTTGTGATTTTCATGAGAAGTGCTCCATTCATCACATCCTTTCTGGTGTCTCCCTGTGCCAGGCGCAGGACCAGCTGTGGGTGACGCAAAACACCAAGATGCACACACGTGTGCCATGGATGCACTGCTTTCAGTGCTGAGATTGACGAGAGCAAGGACTCTGACCAGCTAAAGGCTTAGGAAGAGGGCGTGGGAAATGAGTGAGCAAGATGTGCAAGAAGAGTTCTTGGCCCCAGAGTGGTGTTATTTTGTTCCAGGCAGCAAGGCTGAGCTGGCAGAACAGTCCTGATCCAAAAGGAGCCAAGGGCAAGGCAGTGCTCGGGCCACTGTGGGCAAGCCACCTCGCTGCTTGGCAACACACACCTACCGCCTCTGCCAGCCTCCTGCCTGCAACACTCCACTACATCAAAGTCTGGGCTGGGCCTTGGGCGATAGAGCCTGTGACCTGTTCTCAGGCCCAAGCACAAAAGAGACTTGGAGAATGCGGAGCTGGCATTTTCAGCTTCTTTAGAGAGAAGGGGACCCCAAAACCCAAGAAAGGGTTCAGATATTAGACCACTAGGGCTATGGTTGCTAATAACAAGAGCTAAGGCAATTACCATTTGTTCATCCTTGCTGGATTTTTATTTAAAACCACAACTAAAGCGCATCAAAACATTGCTTTATTCTTCATTGTTTTCTAGAGTTAAAGGTCTCAAGATTCACATCTTAGATCCACCTCACCCTAAAGGGCACAACTGTCACAAGTTCAGAAGTGACACACCTTTTTAAAACCATGCCAGGTATGCAGGAGGACTGGTCAAACGGAGGGGTGGACTCAACCAGCCACCGTAGCTCCCCATTATCTGAAGCAGCTAACAGGACCAGTGTTTGTTCCCAGACCTGGAATATAATGGCTCGTGATTCCTCAATTAAAGGTTTGTCTCCTTCAAAGACCTGACCGGGTACTTTTTCTTAGAACAGTGGAAATCTCACTCCCACCTGCCCTGGTTTACAGCTGTGCACTAACCAATGAACACATGCCTTAATGATGACCCAGTGCCATCATCCTTAGCCCTCAGCCCTCCTGGCCACTCCCCTGTGGCTGGCCAGACAAGCTGGCTTTTTTACCGCTGAGTCCTCCTCACCTGGAAGACTGTGAAATAGCAGCTCTGCCCTTCCTCTTCCCATTCTCAACTTTCCCCCTTGTGTGCTAACTCTGGCAAAGTTGCCTCATTCTTTCATGAAATTTCTTCCCCCAACCCCTGCCACAGGACACGTACGCAATCAACTCGGTCTGAGAAGAGCCTTCAGCTTCATGTCCAGATGAAAGAGGAGGACAGACTTTTAAATGGGAGAGTTCATTGAAAGAGAAGAGTTTTCAGTGACCAGAGAGAGAGGTAACCTTTCCTTGCTGCTGGAGCAGACTGAGAGGTGGAGGAGGAGGGAGAGCAAGGGGACCACCACACCCTCTCTTCCCTGAGATGCTGCCCTGAGCAGAGAGAAGGGGAGAGCTTGAGGATTAGAATGGGAGGAGGGTGATATTTTAAATTAAATGGCACTGGGTGTTTACAACTCTCAAAGTAAAAGTGAGGCTGAGATGTTGATGAGTCAGAAATGGCAATGCAACTTCAGTAAAATAAAGCCATTCCCTGTTTGCACCCCAGCAGGCCAGCCTGCTCAATAGACCTACTCAATTTTCTTCAGCCCCAGGAGACTCTGCCTACCCTGAGGGATGCTTCTTACTCCGTGTTTATTCCAGACTATCTATGTCTGACCTAAGAGCACAGACTTTGGGAGGATAGAGTCAGTCTGACTTAGAGGTTACGCTACTCAACCGCCTGCTCATCCTTCCCAAGGGGAAATGAACCAGGGCCAACCCCAGCCCAGACAGGAGGCTGAAAAAATGGAAAACGCAGGAAGGAAAAAATGTGTAGAGACTATTCTTGCAAAACCTTCGCCCAGATAAAGAGCTCAAAACCAAAAATAATCGGAGATCAGAATGGTAAAGAGGAGGGCCACTTGAGCCAGAAGGCAACATTAGCTTCCTCGCATCCTCAGGCGAACAGGGGTCAGACAATTCCTTCAGCTCATATATGGCCTTAGACTAGTCAGGGCACATCTATCCAAGGCTTCGGTTTTCCTGGCTGTCAAAATAGACAGCAGCAGCTTGTTCCAGCAACCTCACACAAGTGGCATGGAGTCAAATGTGATTGCATGGCCTGAAATGAAACAGAAACTCTGAAAACTGCATAAAGCCACTCTACCCAGAATATTCCCAGTCGTCATCTGCTAATTACTGAGGCCCCTCTGGAGACTGGTTACCTCTGTAATTCTCCTAAGGATATATTTAGGCTATTCTTGTTTTGTGACTATTTTGGGGACTGCAAAAAAAAAACAGTATTCTACTAAATTTAAGCATGCACAGCTTACCAACAAGTGTTCCAAAAGCAGATTTGCAGGTAGGTTAGAGATCCGTTTTACATAAAAACCATGCTAAAAGGAATCTGTTATACATATGCAAACCAGTAGAAAACAATAATGTTACAAAGCACGAAGCCAAACAGGAAAAATACATCTTAAGAGTGGCCAAGTAATAGTACATTCACTATTTGATACAGGTATTTTAAACTTCTCCATTAATGCTTGAATACTGCTATTTCTTGCAGCTTGAAGACTTACGCTGGGCATAAAGCAAGTACAACAGGGGGGACGGGATGTGGAAAATTATAATGGAATTCCTGGCAAGTCAGAGCAACCCACACGTTTCTCCTCTAGGACTTCCTGGAGTCAGTTTCCTCCCTACCTCTGTCCAGGGACCACCTTCTGGCTCCACGCCACCCATAACACATCCCCCCATGTGTCTCCCCCAACTCTAGCATGGAGGAGAGCCACACACAAGGTTCATGTTTAGGGGAAGGAGGGGCTGACCTTTCTATTTTAAAATTTACTAGCATAATCTAATTGCAAAAGAAGTCCTTAATTGCCCGGTTCTAAGCCGGCCTGATCAGGTGTGCTGTGCCGGTAATGTGTCCGGACCAAGGGGTCTCGTGGGTCCATTTTAACTCCGTCTGTTTCTCTAAGTCTAGCATGGGTTTCCCCAGCTAGGGCTGCAGACCACATGGCCGGGACAGGCTACATCCTATGTGAGGCTCAGTACAAAAGGACAATGCAAGACCCTCTTGTTCAGAACTACTAAGACTTTAGTGACAGCAGAGTATTCAATCAAACATTAGCCGCTTATGCATGGACCCTGTGTTTACTGCCCAGGTCGCAGACCACTGAAGCCAGCCCTGAATGTGGCACCAACCAGCCTGGACGACCTTGACCCTCCTGGGTCATGTCCCAATTCCTGTGCAGATTTTCCAAGTGACTTCCTTTAGCCTCTTTCCATTGTGTGGACTGGGCAAAGAGCCCTTAAGAAAGGCGCCTCTGGTTCCTGGCCTCAAAGACTCCCTTTGCTTCCAAGGCCCCATATCTAGCTGGCCGAGCAGAGAGTGCTTTAACCCAGCACTTAGGTTCCACCTCTCATGTGGTCCTGCACAGAACTTCCCCTATTAAGAACTTTCAAAAATAGGAACATAGTGCTCCAGGCCAAAGGCAATAGACACAGGGCTGCAGTGGCCACGCTGGGCCCTTCCTGTTTCGACATCTGTTTTTCACTGGTCTACACCTTCCGTCGCTGGCTGCATCCGGGCCTTTCTTTAGGTCTTTAGCCTAAACCCCGTGTGATGATTAATTCTATGTGTCAGTTTGACTGGGCCATGGATGCCTAGATATTTGATCAAACATAATTCTGGGTGTGTCTGTGAGGGTGTTTCTGAGTAAGATTAACGTTTGAATCTGCAGACTGAGTAAAGCAGGTAGCTCCTCCTCCCCCATGAGGGTGGGCATCATCCAATCAGTTGAAGGCCGGAAAAGAACAAAAAGGCTGACCCGCCAGTGACTAGGGGGAAAAAACCAACAACACCTGGGACATTGGTCTTCACCTGCCTTTGGACTCAAACAGAAACATCAGCTCTTGGGTCTCCAAACCTACAGGCTTTCAGACTGCAGCTTCTACCATCAGACTGGCGCCTACACCATCCGCTTTCCTGAGTCCCAGCTTGCTGAATGCAGATCTTGAGGCTTTTCAGCTCCATAACCTCAGGAGCCAATTCCTTATAATAAATCTGTCTATCATCTATCTAAAATAAATGTTTATTTTTTTATCTGTCAATAGTGTCAACCGATGGTCATTGGTACCAATTTAATGCCAACAGGAATGTCCAATTGTGGGTGCAGTAAAGAAGGAAACTTTAGTGCCAACAGCTCAATGGTAACACAGGATGGCTGTGAAAACAGCACTGCTTTGGAACAGCTTGAGCATCTATAATAATAAAAGCTTAATATGCTAATTAGACCATATGTCCTTCCAGACGACCTTCTGGATGAAGCCAGGGCTTTGAGGGAAGCCCAGGTCCCAGGTACCTGCCGGTGGCCAGAGGGAAGCCTGGGTTCCTGGTCCCAGGGGGAAGCTGGTGCCGGCAGCCAGGGAAAGGAAGGCCTACTCTTGCAGAATTTCGTGCATCAGGCCTCTAGTAAGCTTAATAAAATCTGTCTGGAAATTTCTCTGGGGTTCCTTTTTTTTAAAATATATTTTTATTGACTTCAGAGAGGAAGGGAGAGGGAGAGATAGAAACATTAATGATGAGAGAGAATCATTCATTGGCTGCCTCCTGCATGCCCCCTACCAGGGATTGAGCCTGCAACCCAGACATGTGCCCTTGACTGGAATTGAACCCAGGACCCTTCAGTCCACAGGCCGACTCTCTATCCACTGAGCCAGACCAGCTAGGGCTGGGGTTCCCTTTTGATTTCTATCTTGGGGAACCTGAGAACCCTAATGCCAATATTAAAGAGATGCTATCTATGGAGGTGAAATCTTGCACATTTGATCATTTCGTTATCCATGTATTGAATGTTTATTGAACACCTAACACATGCCTGGTGGTGTGCTGGGGACTAGGAGTCAAGTCCTGATCCTGGTGCTCAGAGGGCTCTGGTCTGGAGCAGTGCAAGCATCAGAACATATCTGACCATCTTTTGGCTTAAATTCAAAAAGAAGAGAGATTAGTTGGAGAGCACCTTGGTGCTGAGACACATGTCCTAGAAATTATTTTCCTGAATAAATTCACTGTTCCATTTTGACCTTTTCCACTTGCAGGAATTTATAATTTTCCAAGGCTATAAGTTCATGTTTTCTTAAACAGATTGATCTTTTGTTAAGAAAACAAGTAAGAATAAATAAATGGTATAATCATTTAACTCCATCAGAGGTAACAAAACTCTGTGCAGCCAGGTGCTAAGTACCGAATATTTCACCATCCGCACATCAGCCTTTGTAGTTGAAGGACAAAAGGCAGTGACCCCTGGCCTCCTCTATAGGCTCAGTGACATCCTGCCTGATCGCCAAGGGCCTGATTGTGGCTCCCCGGATGGATTATGGCAATAACATACCCAGTCATGGGTCATTGGGTATTGAGTGCTTATTATATTTTAACACTTTATCGTTTTAAACCTCTCAGCAACTCTGTAAGATGGGAACAACTACTACTTTTTTACAGATGAGAAAACTGAAGCATCAAGAATTAAGTAACAAATTTTTAAAAAAGAATTAAGTAACTTGCCAAGGTCTCACCTTGCTAGCAAGTAGCAGATCTGGGTCTTGAACACAAGTGATCTGGTTTTTGTCTTTCACCGCTTTAGACCTGGCCTGGCAATAGCATGCTTGAGAGACTGTTTTATCTCCTTTCCTTTCCTCCTACTCTATGTCCCCCTCAGCCCAGCAGCGATTTCGGTGGTGACTGGCCTTATGTTCTTTTTGCTTTTAGAAGATTGGAAATACTTTTACCACATCTCTTTACTTCTTGTTTGGTTTATCTTTTCTAAAGCTGAAAACAAACAAGAGAGAGCCTGACCTACGCCCTCCAGGCAGCTTCTGAATGAGAGCCTTCCAGAACTGGGGGCCAGCACTTAGTTGACACCAGCCCAGATCCAGGCTGCCAGTGACTCGGGGGAGAATCTGAGAGGCTGACGGGCATTCCTGTCTCAGGCCCCGGCAGCAGCCCTGACTGCCACAGCAGTCGCTACTGGCTGAGTGAGGGAGGGACTGAATCCAAGACACAGAGAACAACCTCACCTGCCAGTTCAGTACCAGTCTTAGTGAGAGAATTAAAAAGAAAAAAAAGATGATGAAAAAGAGAAAAACCTGGAGGGAGCTCTCGCTACCTAGATAGGGTCCTGAACTCCTCCTCTCCCTTCCTTTCCTCCTCCCTTTATGAGGACCCATCCCCCTCCCCCCTCCTCTCCTTCCCAGCCCTACACCTCCCTTCTCTCCCCCTTTCCCTTCACCCACTGATCTCCTTTTCCTCTGGTAAGGTCCAACCTGTATGCCTCCTAATTCAGATCAGTTTTCCTATGTTACCATGGCAACCCACTGCTACTAAGGTGGTTCAGAGTCACTTCTCCCCTGTATTTTTAATAGGAAAGCTGCATTCTACACCTTGTCCTTCATCATTTACCACTGTCAGTTTGAGCAAAACTCCCCACTCCAGGTTCTCTTATATCCTTAAATGTTTTTGTTTTGTTTTTGTTAATCCTCACTCAAGGATATTTTTTCCATTGATTTTTAGGGAGTGTAAGGGAGGGAGGAAGGGAGGGAGAAGAAAAGAAAGAGAAAGAGAGATAGAAACATTGATGTGTGAGAGACACATCAATTAGTGGCCTCCTGCATATACCCTGACTAGGCTGGGGATCGAACCAGCAACCCAGATGTGTGCCCTTGACTGGGAATCAAACCCATGACTCCTTTGGTGTATCAGCCAACACTCTAGTCATTGAGCAACACTGGCCAGAGCCTTAAATGTGTTAAAACAGCCATATCTCTTTTAAACTATTTTGATCTATTTTGAATAATTTTAGATATAATGTCATCACTTTAGTTAATTCCAAATATATCAGTACAGCTTTCTCCATGGAGTGTACCTGTCCTATTTAGTGAGGGGTTAGGCAAGTTGAATTTGTACTTATGCAGAGAGGCACTGACAGCAGCTGAACTGTGAATACTGAGGAGGAAAATGTTTCAGGTGGGACCATTAGTTCCCCAGGAGCAAACCAGAAACCTGCCCCAGGAAACTGGCCACATGGGTCAGGCAGGAGCTTGTGAAAACTCCTTCCATAACGACACCCAGAACTCAGCATCCCCTCCAGGCCCTGGCTGAGCAGAAGGTCACAAATCCTATGTGTCGTCTTGGGGTTGATTATCTTTATCCTTGTGAGTTGTTGAGATTTTCCTGCTTTTTCATTTGGGGCATTTTAAATATTGTTTTGAGACT